TGCCTTATACATGCTCCTTTTGTTCCTGATCCCAGTCTCAGTTCCCACCTTCCTTGCATCTCCAGCTTTACACTGTGATCTGTGTTCTTCATTTTGTACATATTGTATATATTATATTATAGATAACTTTTTAGGCGTTTTGTGTTTGGGTTGTGATTCGCTCGTATTTTCATGTTTGCTGTGTTTTATGTTTGCTGGTGTTTGGATGTCTTACTATTAATAAATTTACTTTACTATATATAATCTGGTCTCAGTTTCCCAGTGTAGCTACGCAGATTTGGCCATCCTTGTTACTGATTCCTGACATTGGGATCGATTGATTGCCTGGACATCAATATCACACCCTGACAAAAGGTGAGCAATTGTACACAATATATCAAAAAAGGCGTTTCATCTCTAAATGGCAAGCTCCTATTGTCTCCACCTTTTCCACATCAGAAGTGACATCCCTTTACAACTCCTTCCACTTCATCCAAAAGGTAGAGAGAAGCAGGCATCAACAGCAGGGCTCTTACTTTACTTTCCATTCATCGTGCATCAGCATCAGAGGTTGGTCATCAGCTCTGAGGAAAGGGATTCGTCCCCGAAACGCGTCAGCCATTTGACCGCACTGCCAGTGAGAACACCTTGCCCGCCGTTGTGGCCATTGTCATTTTCCATGCTTTTTAGATACATGCTTCGTCTGTGAGTATGTTTTTATGATTTAATTCCTACAATAAACCTTGGATAATGCACTAGGTGTGTGCGCCACCTGTTTTCTCTCTATCCAGTGGCTGATTTCCCCGTCTGAGGAGGGCTGCACCCCTGGAACATTTCCTTTTGGTTGTCGCTGTCCTGGTACCCTTGGCTTCCCTTTTGGCTGTGCATATCCTGAGGCGCTGGAGAGTACATACGTCATCCAAAAGGTAACCCAATGTTGTACAAACCCCCTACAACAGCTGGCTCGAGTCTTCCTGCATAACATCAATTCTTGTTTCTAATCTCTACAATTTGCTATTGCTGTTCTGGTCCACATTTTTCTATCTCTCTCTCTATGTTATTTAGTTTTATTTGTTGATGTATGCAGAATGGTTTATCAAAGTAGGGAACTAGCCACCATGAATGATTACTACTTACATCATTTTGGATGACCTGACATTCCCCTCCCTCTATCCCCTCTTCTTCTTTTAGAATGCTGTTTCACCCCCCTCCTGATTATCCATCCATGTCTCCTTAACATCAATATATTGAGCTATCCACTTATTCATGTGAGATACATTTTAGACTGTGGAGGATACTAAATATATTATTCCCATGTATGAAGGAACACAGTATTCTTTTGGTTGCAGTTTTGTGAAATTTAATACTATTTCTATTAAACAAAAAAAAAAAGGGAACAATTGTAATGAATATGCATTTTTGTTTGGGGGGCTGAATGTTTCTAGCAGTGTGTGGGGTGGCTATGGAGCCTAAACTGACTGCTCAAACTGATGACATGTCCATATATACTTAGGGTATTGTTTTGGCATCTCCGATTGTAGCTTCCACCTACCAGATATGTGGCATAAGTAGCCAATAAGGGCTAGAGTCACTTGGGCTAATAAATATTTATTTTGTAAAAAATCAGCAAAAAAATATTTCTGCATGGTGGAGCTGTATGTAATCCTGAAATCTATTATTCAGTACGTTTGGCATCATGCCTTGCCATATACATTTTTTCTTTCAAAAGATTTTTGTGTAAATTTATTGCAAGTGCAATAAATGTATTTCAAAGTTTCTTATAAACCATCTGCAACAGGAAGTGCTTTTATTGGTAAGAACCTGAAGATCCTGCAAGTAACAGCACTTCACGTTGCAGGATTACGACACTTAGCCATGGCCCCGCGGTTAGCAATAGACTTGTCAGCTTGTTGTGCAAGTCTCTTCAGTTGGCCATTGGATTGCCTTTCAGGTCTATTAGAAATCAGCCCAATAGCCAACTGAAAGAATGCCCCAACATAGGCCAACACAGCTGCTGCTAATTGCAAGGCATTGGCTTAGTGTTGTCAGCCTGCTACAGACATTGCTGTAACTGATGGGCACTCCAGGTAAGAAACTTTGCAACAAATGTAGAAGAGGGATGTTCCCTTTTAGACATCACGCCCATTCAGATTCTCAGCAAACTAGGCAGAATACATATTCCAAGATTCTCGTATCTGTACCACTAAACATATATACATTGCCAACATTTTTTTATAGATATCTCTCCTGTATACCATCCATTTAAAGCTGGCTAGTGGTCTTTAAAAAGTTTCATGTGTTTCCTCTAGTTCCCGAGTACCCCATGAGTACACAGTAACCAAGGAGCTCCAATATGCAAAGAAGAGCAACTTTTATGGTCGACATCGCCGGCTAGCCCCCTCGCCATGCCCTGCTTTTTCACCATTGGTTAGTGAAGCTTTCTATCACAGAGATAGGCCAAGAGTAAGGGTGCAGGAGAGGTGGAAGAGGTGGAGCCAGAGCTGATGATCACAGTTTTCAAGAATTCTGATGTGCCCTCAGGAATTGTCAACTGATGGACAGGCACTTGAAGATAGCTGTAGAAAGTAAACATTTAGCAACTTTTTTAAGCTTCCAGGTACAGGAGGTTTGTGTACACATTGGTCATATCACTGTATTATTTTCCTGATGTTGTTGGAATAACGCCAACTGCAACTAAACATTAAATTGATACTATAGCAAGTTTTCAGTTATTTTGACTTACTACTGCAATATTAACCTGCAAGTAAGTTTTGATGTGACTTTCATTTTTTTACCTTCAAATTTTGATTGCATCTAAAACACAGATTTGTAACTGCTCCCTTTTAGTGGTCACCTGTATATTGGGGAACGTACAAGGGATCTTCAAACAGCTTTTACATATATAAACAGAGTTAAAGAAAAAGTGCAGAAACATTTTGAAGAACCCTTGTAATTCGCATCTCTGCCTTTGAGGACCAAGGGACGTATTTGTCCCATGTTTTTAATTGCGTGTATCATCTGATTAAGAACTTTAAAACTCTTTCTTTTTTTTTTTTTTTTTTTTGGTTTGAGTCAAAATATTAGTTCTTCATGAAAGGGCTTAGTTACAGCAACTGAAGTGTACGAACTTTAAAAACAAAAAAATTTATTCTTTTGGCGTTCCAAAATCTTACAGTCCTCAAAGAGTTAAAGCATTACTTGCACCAAAATGTAAGGTCTGCATATTAGATCAGGCCCCCTTTCCCCATTTATTTCAAATTGCCACATGATCTCGATAAAAAAAAACATACTGTACCTGGCTGTGCAAAAAAAAAGTTATAAAAGATAATTAACTTAAAGCAGGATTTCACTAGACGTCAATTATCCTTTCTTCCATCAAGATTCTAAGAATACTGAGGATTCAGAAATCTTGCAAGAAGACACCACATCATTGTTCAGAGCTTTGCACGGGTGTCCCGAGGGTTTGTTGTCACCCGATGCGATAACACTTGGTGACACCCCCTCCGACAATCCCCGCAGGATGGAACGGATCTGCGAATTGAGCATAATGGATCGGACTCCAATCCATTATGCTCCCCAATCCGCAGACCTGATCCATCCTGCGGGGCTCGTCAGCATGCAACCTATACCCGCTCCATGAAAAGAATCCACCCTGCGGGGACCGTCGGCTTGCTTTACAACTTACCTTTTCATGGAGCAGGTCCGGTATCATCCTGTGCGGTAGGTGGCACCAGGTGCCACTGTTCTGAAGTACATTACTTTGAGTCTTGGAATTCTTAGCTACTCCAGAATCTGACCGTTAGGTTACCATTGTCTAGGTGCCATTGGCAAAAGCCAGCTATAAGGTAAGTATAGTTTCTACCTTTTTTTTTTTTTTTTTATCACAGGTGCATTTTGCACAGCTATCATGTAGAGATTTGAGATTGGGGGGCTTAAGCACTAGGTGGACTTTGAATTTTAATGCAAGGTTCTATTTAACGTCTGCTGAGATATAGTCAATTAGATTTACAGATAGTCTATTGATCTGTCAGGTGGAAGTGACCCATGGTCTTGTACTTTGAGACAGAAGCAGTGATTTACTGTGCACCACTACTGAGCAGGAGGCAGAGCCTGCCTATATAGTGAGGAAATATGGCTGCTTACATCTACACATTTATTTACAAACTATACACCAAAACATAATTTTTCAAAACATTAACACACATTGATACAGTAATTTACATGAAGCTGTTCACATTCACATACTGTACATATTTTTAAAAAAATGTTAAAATAATATAGTTTCCCTTTAAACTGGTCTAAAGCAATTTCTCTTTTCAGCTGTCTTTGACACGGAATATGATAAGATTTACTGTCATTGGTTTCTCTGAGAAAATGTTGCACTGCATAATGAAATATGCTCAAGACCTCTGTTTAATATTTATTAGCATTTGGGGAGTATGCCAAGCTTATACTGAATCTGTTAGCTAAATCGTTTGGAATTCAAAAAATACTCAACGTGAAATCACAGATTATTATTAAATTCCAAGATTCACAAGTCTGAGTCCTTCAATTTGGGATTTCCGACTGCTGCTAAAACCCTAGGCGAGAAATAGGCAATGGGTAAGTCGCCCAACCAAGATTGAAGATCTTTGGCATAGATATCTTCTAGATACCATCTGCTAAGGGGTAATCATTAGGTATACATAGAAACAGGCAATCTTGTATTTTTGCAGTTTGACCCTTCTAGGCTTCTGATTAGACAAACTGTGATATCCGTCATTCTAGATGTTATTTACTATAAGTAACTGTCACATGACCCATTTTAGAATACTGGAATTTGACTTACAGTACTGTAAGGCAAATAAACTATTTGTTTGGTATTGATGTGATCTTTTCTATCTCTGATGAGATATCACTCTAGCTAGCCTTTTCAACTACCATGGATGGACTCATCGGCAATCATCAGAGGACCATCACCTCACTGGTCATATTATGCAACACCAGCCAATAGTAGAATCAGAGCTTCTCTTAAAAATGGCTTATTTTGTTTCAATGAGTTCACATTTTTGTTCTGTGTCAGATTTTTGGGAGATGCTGAGTGTGTTTGTTCGTGTACAACTTGGAGAGTCTGATATGGTGGCAACTTTCAGTGAATTCTTGATGGAGCTGAATTCCCAAGCATGTAAACTGATGATTTCCACCCCACAGCAACGACGGGCAATCCTGAACAGTTTTCTGAGGACAGTCTTCCGCAAGAGGATGTAAACCCATGGGTCAAGTATCTGATTCCATGTGGCCATTCGAAGGGCGAAAAGAATTGTCTGATTAGTCTCTTGCGACTGGGAACCATATATCTTTAATCCAATGTTGGCCATTGTGAACTAAAAGGAAAAGAAACATAAAAATGTAAAATAACATTTAGTGTCTTTGCAGAATATAAAAAGCATATTGTAAAGAAGTCTTCTAAGAGTAACATGGTCTACACCTCTAGAACAAAGACATATTTTTATTTATCAAGGGTTTGTTTTACACCGCGTTCCAAATTATTATGCAAATTCTATTTAAGTGTCACAAAGATTAAATATTTTGTTTTTCAGTTTAACTCATGGATGGCATTGTGTGTCAGGGCTCTTTTGATCACTGAAAACAATCTGGGACACCTGTGATAATTAGATTGGCCGGTGAGCCCAATTTAATGAAAAACTACTAAAGGAGGGTGTTCCACATTATTAAGCAGAGCACCATTTTCAAGCAATATGGGGAAGAAAAAGGATCTCTCTGCTGCCGAAAAGAGTGAAATAGTTCAATGCCTTGGACGAGGTATGAAAACATTAGATATTTCACAAAAACTTAAGCGTGATCATTGCACTATTAAGAGATTTGTGGCTGATTCAGAGCACAGACGGGTTTGTGCAGATAAAGGCACATTGAGGAAGATTTCTGCTCGATCCATGCATCAGATCAAGAGAGCAGCTGCTAAAATACTATTACATAGCAGCAAACAGATATTTGAAGCTGCTGGTGCCTCTGGAGTCCCACGGGCATCAAGGTGTAGAGTCCTCCAGAGTCTTGCAACTGTGCATAAACCTTCTATTCGGCCACCACTAACCAATGCTCACAAGCAGAAATGACTGCATTGGGCAGAAAGATACATGAAGACTAATTTTCAAACGGGCCTGTTCACTTATGAGTGCCATGCAACCCTGGATGGTCCAGATGGATAGAGTAGTGAATGGTTGTTGGACGGCCACCGTGTTCCAACAAGGCTGCGACGTCAGCAAGGCAGTGGTGGAGTCATGTTTTGGGCCGGAATCATGAGAACAGAGCGGGTCGGCCCCTTTAGAGCCCCCGAAGGTGTAAAGATGATCTCTGCAAAGTATGTGGAGTTTATGACTGACCACTTTCTTCCCTGGTACAGAAGGAAGAACTATGCTTTCCGTAATAAAATCCTCTTCATGCATGACAATGCACCATCTCATGCTGCAAAGAATACCTCTGCATCAATGGCTGCTATGGGGATAAAAGGAGAGAAAGTCATGGTGTGGCCTCCATCCTCCCCTGACCTCAATCCTATTGAGAACCTTTGGAGCATCCTCAAGCAAAAGATCTATGAGGGTGGGAGGCAGTTTACATCCAAACAGCAGCTCTGGGAGGCTATTCTGACATCTTGCAAACAAATTCAAGCAGAAACTGTCCAAAAATTCACAAGTTCAATGGATGCAAGACTTGTGAAGCTGCTATCAAATAAGGGGTCCTATGTTAAAATGTAACGTGACCTGTTAAAATGTTTAAAAAGGTTAAATGTTGTTAAAATTTGATTGAAATAGCTTTTGATTTCAGTAAATATGCTGCAAACACAACAAATGACAATTTTCAGTTCCTTACAACCTATAAAGGGTTTTGAAACTTACTGTGCGAAATAATTTGGAACAGTGCATTGTAAGTGTTTTATGTTTAAAAAAAATACTGTTATTAGGAGGTTTGTTGTTCAATAAAATTTGAATTGTACTCTTAATAGTTGATAACATGAGAATTATGCTGACTGTTATTTACATCAATTATTTAGGTAAATGAGAAAAATATCATTTGCATAATAATTTGGAACACGGTGCAAGCCCTGGTTCACACCTGAGTGATTGGAGGCACTTTTTCTAGAATTCCTTTTGTATCCTATGGTGCCTGTTTGCGTCATTGTCACTCAAAATTGAAAACGTACATGAGCGTCTTTGGAGTAGAGTATGAGTTTTTGGTACCTATAAACTTTAATAGGAGCACCTAAAAAAAAAAAAAAGTCTTGCTTTTCTTGCAATTTCTGTCCTCTCCTTCTTCTAGTAACTAGCTTTCCAGTAGCTAAAACAAAACAAACCTGAAAAATATTTGTACAAGTGCACATTACGATGCTACAACAACACTTAAAAGCTCATGCTTATGTGGCTATGGTGCAGCGTGGTGCGGTGGCAGTAAAGACACAGGGTCCAATTGCAATAAGTTGGAACTCTTATTGAAGAGAATGCCAAACTATAAACACCCCAGCGGGAGAACGCTGCTTAGGGAAACACTCACAGTTCAATTCAAATGCAGAGATGCAGCAGGGAGAGATACAGTGTCTAGAGGGCAGAATGAGGCCAGGCTAGTCCGGACCCAAGTGGGTTCCCTAGCCTATCCCTACTCATCTGGAACTCAAAAGGCACTATATAATTTTATTTTTTCACAAGCAACACTGAGTATTGAGGAAAACGTGGAAGAATTGGTTGAAGCACACTGGACACCCAATCTGATACATCATTCATGTTGATTATTGGAGGATGTGCATGATTTAAGGCGATATTTGACCATACTTGAATGTAAGCTCAAAAAAAACCAGATGGGAGCACAGGAAAACCACATATTACAAAACAAAAACTTTTATTTTATGGACTGTTGCACTTACAGTAAAGGATATTTGGCTTGGTTTGTTTTATACAAGTAGAAGCAGCGCTGCGCTGATATTGGAATTATTATTTGTGCACATTTGTATAGGAATTCGTTTGAGTGCAGGCGGCCGTTTATTAAAACAAGGTGTAAGAGATTCATAGCAACTTACAAGATACACAAATTTGCATGTAAAAAAATGTTAAAAATGCACATAACTGTGTGTGCATACATTTATAACATAGAAGATGAAGCTCCACACCACTGCTAAGAGGTCCAGATACAACCGTATTCCAATAAAAGTCTGGGGGACAATTCAAAAAGAATCCAACACATTTTTTGCAGGTCCAAAAACGTCCATTTCACCAGAGCCTGATTAATTACAATGGGAATCGAGTAGAAGTGAACTGGATCTTTGGTTTTCATTTTTCAATGTGATTGCAATCACAAGCCTTGTCAGCAGCTGGTCTCGCCCCATTCTACCTTCACCCCCGGTTCACACCTATGCGGCCGTGCGGGTCGTGTTTTGCACGGGCAAGAGAGCCTATTCATTTGAATGGACTCCCCTGCTCATGACACAAAGAAAGAAGTCCCTGCACTTCTTTGGAAAACGCAGCCCGCATGGGGACCCCTGTTCCCAGTATGGTTGCGTTTTCCAGTGCGGGCGGCATGCCATTAGAACTAATGGCACCCGCCCGCGGGTCCGCATGTCTCTGTGCGGGTGCGGATTTTTGTGCGGATCCGCAGCGGCATTACCTGCACAGATGTGAATCTAGGGTAAAGGATAAGTTCACCTTTGGTAACGTGTTACATGTTACACCCATATTCATCATGTAACATGTTATGAACGGACCAGCCCCCGCATCCCCGTGTCTTCTAGCAGGGGATCTTCTCTCTCCCACTATATGTCATAATTAAAAAAAAACGTGTCGTGTGGGACTCCGCCTGCCCGGCCGTAACTCTCATTCATGTGAATGGGAAAGCTACAAGTTTAAACAGCCTTTGCACCTGTTGACTTGTAGTTTTTCAATGAACTACCACGGTGCTCAACAGCATCATGGTAGTTCATTTATTATTCCTGTCAGTATCTGCTTGCCCATATGGGATGTAAGAGCAAGCAGATATACTGACAGGTCAGGGGGAGACCTGCGTGGCACCAGCGATCTGTTGATCACTGGTGCAATGCTTTAGAGCAGTAGTCTCCAAACTGCGGTCCGAGGGCACTATTTATCCCAATAATACCAATGATGGGGCACTATTCATCCCAATAATACCAATGATGGGGCACTATTCCTCCCAACGATAGCGATGATGGGGCACTATTCCTCCCAATAATACCAATGATGGGGCACTATTCCTCCCAATAATACCAATGATGGGGCACTATTCCTCCCAATAATACCAATGATGGGGCACTATTCCTCCCAATAATACCAATGATGGGGCACTATTACTTCTACTGACCAAAGGCACAATGCAACTGAACATCACACCTGAGGCATTGCTTACGCTCATCGATTCCTGGCCTAGGACATTTTCTACCCCCACTGGCCACAATCCAGCCCCCCCCAAAAGACTGAAGGAAAGTAAACTGGCCCTTTTGTTTTTTAAAGTTTGGAGACCCCTGCTTTAGAGGCTCCAGAAACAAAAAAATAGTAAATGCACATTTTTATACCTACAAAAAAAGTGCATTGATTATTTTTTTATTAAAAGGTGAATGTATCCTTTAATCCAATTTCTGTTGGCTGCTGTAGTCAGTGCCACTACGGTAATTATCTACCTTGATGTTCATAAGTAAGCTCTAAATGTCCTTTGTACAATCAATGACAAACATATATCTCTAAATGAAAAGTATCTCCTTCAGTCCCATTTTGTAAATTATAATTAAGAGGCACTCTTCAGAGACTAACAGAACAGTGTTAATGATCCAATAGCTATCACCATCATAACTTTGGGCCATAAATCTGGGTTATCTGCTACGCTCTGTCCACAGATGGTTTATATCAGTGACAAGTAAAATGCTTCTTCTATGACATAATTCATATCAGGACATCAAACAACACAACATTGTTTCATTAGAGAAATGAAATTTTTGTAAAATGTGTGTCTCAACAAAGATGGTCATAAAATAAACAGAATACCAATAATCCTGAGTCATTTAAACATGTGACCATTATTTCCTTCTGTTTAAAAAGCATTTAAAAAGCAGCAGGAGGCATCTTGCTTTGCCTTTCTTAAATCCCAACCATACCTTAACATACCACCCCTAGCAGTATTATACTGTATACTTTGCTTGTAAATGTGGAAGAAAAATTTAAATAAAACATTTATTGTAAATAGGAGAATAGGTGCAGGTACTCCCCCCATATGAGTCAATCCTTTTCTCCACCCCCTACCCACCACCAAGCACCATCACTTGGGTTCACACCCTACTCACCTCCCAGTACTGCCCCTTTAAGAGAATACAGAA